AGCAAATGAATGGAGCAGAAGAGAATTCCTAAGGATACATTTAAAATGCATATAATCTATTATTATCCAGAGAGAGGACTGGGATTCCCTGCCCCCACTATAAGCTTGCAGGTTGAGCAGTTGGACTAAAAAATATTTTAAACTACACTAATAATATTCATGAATCATATGATAGTCTGGGAATTTGGGGGTCACCGTCAGTGGCATACACCCTCCATTGGGCCTCTGGGCAGCCTTGTGTGGGAATCTGGGAGGAGTTAGGTGAAGAGAAGGGGAAGGCAAGATGAGGACTGGGAGGCAGTGGGACCAGTACGGCTCCTATCCTTGCTTTCCTCATTTACCACCCCACATCCATGCACACTGTGCCCAGATCAGCGTGAGAGCACAGGCCCCCACCCATTCTCCATGACCAGCAGCTAAGGCCTCCAACCCAGGAGCCAGGCCAGGACTGTCGATGTCAGGTACTGTACCTGGGCCAATGGAGAAACGAAAGGACCTGGGGCTGGAATCACGATCAGTACACATCAACCTGAAATTTTGAATGTTTGTGCCAACTTTCAGATCCACTGGGATGGCCAGGAAATAAGAGTTTGGGATACAAATCGGCTTTTCATCATTTTCTTCCAGGACGTTAACAGTAACCTGGAACAGCAAGAAGGTGGCCATTGTTAGCAGCTAAAACTTACTGAGTGCTTCCTGTGTGCCACGCACAGGGCTCTGCGTTTCTGTGGTCTAGCTCATTTAACCTTTCCGGAGATAGATGATATGACCATTCCCATTTTACAGATGATGAAACTGAGGCTTAGAGAGGTTAGGTAATTGATCTAAGGCCATTCAGCTGGTGAGTTCCAGAACTGGGGTTTGAATGCAGGCCTGTCCTACTCCAAGTCTTATGCTATTAACTTCTATACTCTGGGTGTGTGCACATGTGCATAATATATGTACACATTCATAGAGCCTCACGTAAATGCACCTAGACACGTGGGGCTCATCCCCAGGTATTGCTGGGTTGTTTTTCCAGTAACAAGGATGGGTTTACGGTGAGCCTCTGTACTTCCTTGCTCACTGCCCTTGTGCATTGGAAGTGGCATCTTTAACTTTGGAATGTTGAGCAATGGTTCTCAACCCTGGCTCTACGTTCTTAGGCCCAGTCCAGACCAAATAAATCGGACTCTCTGCAAAGTGAGGCCTGGTCCCCTTTTTTTTTTTTTTTATGTTCCCAGCTGATTCTAATATGCAGCCAGGGTAGAGAACCACTGGGATGAAACGAGAGAACCTGGCTTAGCTGGGGTCTCCTCTGTAACCTGGGCTATTAGGACGCACTAAGCGGGTGGTGATCCCCTGCCACAAGCAGGGCCCGGCCATTCTCTTTCACGGCTGTCTTTTATGCCTGGCAGATTGGAATATGGACTGGGACGCCTGCCAGCACAGAATCATAGACTGTCAGCCCCGAAAGGGACTTATGTGATCATCACCCTTTTGAAAAGCTTATGAATTTTGAGTCAAATTTATTCTACCTTTGAAATTTGGGGATTTCAACCATTTCCAAGACCTGGAATAAATTGAAATGTTCACTCCAGTCAGCTCCCAGAGTGGAGTCCATTCATGTTTTTTTCAAAAAGCCGGCCTAACAAACACTACAATTACCTCCAGCTTAGCACGTCTCTCCCCCAGCAGGCAGTGCCGAGCCTCACGCATCATTAAAAACATCGTCCGGTTAATTCAAAGCAAGCCATGAGAGGAGCAGGACTAGTCAGGCTTTCGGTGATCGGGTGACTTTCCATTTAAAAGATTGAGAAATTGGGACACGAAGATAAGCATGGCTCAGACCCCCTTGGAAAATTGGGATCAAAGTTGAGAAATGAACTCTGTCTCCAGTCATTTTCTCCATCACACAGGGCTGCCTGCTGCGAGCTGAGAGTTCATTTTGCCTCATGCGTTTTCACTGTACTAATGGGAAAGAGCCAGATGTCCTCGTGGCCATCGTATTATTCGCAGATAATCCTAACCACTGACAGCACAGACCTGTTAAACCTTCTTCCTCCAAACGCGGGCCTGGGCCAGGTGCATTGGCGCCACTTGGAAGCCTGTTAGGAATGCAGACTCTCAGGCCCTTCCCAGACCGGAGGGCTCAGAATCTGCATTTAACCAGGTTCTCAACATCAACGGTTGAGAAGAAGTGTAGCCCCAGTCAAGCCACATCATTTTAAGATCTACCCCATCTGGTGTGATGGGGGTAGGGTTGGAACACAGCAAAGCTACTGGGAGTGGGGGGGGTGGGGAGGACGTGCATAGCTACAAAACCACACCCCACTTCTGGCAGCGTGCATCTCACCGCCAGCCCCCTGTGAAAGCACGGGGGCGTTTAAAGGGCAACAAGAGGACACTTGTCCCACAGAGAGACCATCAATCTCAGCGCTCCTCCCAGTCACCCACACACATGGGCGTCGATCTTTATTTCCCGGACTCTGCTCTGTAAGTCCGTTTGTGCTGTCCTGGACACCACTGGTCATTTCCTGTCACATCTGGAGGATGTGCCCCATTAAGATATCATCACATCTGGAGGGTGCCAGAGACACCCTACGTCAGCCATTCAGGCTGGCGTGAACACACCAAAACAGACCCACTCACAGTGACTGAGCTTGTGTCCTCGTGGTTGGCGGCCTGGATTCTGAGAATATAGATGGGGGTCGTTTCATAGTCCACTTTAGTCACCAGCTGGAGTTCTCCTGTTTTGGGGTTAATCCAAAATATGTCTGGGTACTGGAGGCTGGCCCCCCCAGTGGAGATGGAGTACACAGTGCTGCTCTGGGGGAAGTCTTTGTCAGCGGCCTGCACCCGTCCAATCCGGGCTCTGGCTGGAAGAACAAAGTACCTGAGATTAGTCCTGCTTTGGGGGTGCAGGGAGGGCCCGGGAGCAGACACTCTCTCTGGTAGGGCAGAAAGGCTTTTGGAGGTCCCTTTACTGTTCAAACTCTGTATGTTTTACGTCTTCAGTTCTATTAAATTCAGATTATGCTAATGAACACCCACTAGGTCACTGGTCCTGTGATCCAAGCCATACTGTGAGGCGTAAAAGACAATTCATGCCTTTATGTAGATTCCAACATCGCCAGTCATTATGCCAGCGGTTCTCAACCTGTGGGTCGCGACCCCTTTGGCGGGCGAACGACCCTTTCACAGGGTCATCCCTGCATATCAGATATTTACATTACGATTCATAACAGTAGCAACATTACAGTAATGAAGTAGCAACGAAAATAATTTTATGGTTGGGTCACAACATGAGGAACTGTATTTAAAGGGCCAGAAGGTTGAGAACCACTGCATTATGCTATCATACACAACACTGCAAAGAACATTCTAAAAGTCTTGTATTTTTCACATTTTCTGTAATACATGAGATGAAAAATAAACAATTTTTTGTTTGTTTTGTTTTTTTGTTAATCCTCACCCAAAGATATTTTTCCATTGATTTTTTTAGGGAGTGTGGAAGAGAGAGGGAAAGACAGAGAGAAACATCGATGTGAGAGAGGCACATGGATTGGTTGCCTCCTGCACAAGCCCTGACCAGGACCTGGGCCAGGGAGGAGCCTGCAACCCAGATGTGTATCCTTGACCAGAATCGAACCCGGGACCCTTTGGTCCCCAGGCCCATACTCTATCCACTGAGCCAAACCGATTATGGCGAAAATTAAACAATTTGTAAGAGTTTGGCAATGGAGGATTACAGAATATAGATTTTTTTAAAAATTTTAATCATTTTTTATTTTTCAATTAGTTGACATGCAATATTATATTAGTTTCCGGTGTACACCCCAGTGATTAGATATTATATTACAGGGTATTGATTTTTAAATACTGTTCCATTTTGTTTATCTTACAAACCTTGTTGGTGGGAATGCTGCAGTTCTGGCTTGCTTGTTTTGTGGAAGTTCGTTTTCATAAGTTTTACTCCTTAAGGGCAGAAACCTCTCATCCAACTACATAACCCCAGCACCAAGCGCTTGACTCAAAGTAGGGGATCAATAACTAAAGGGAGATCTCTGAATTGATAAAGAGCCTATTCCTATTGCACTTGATAGGCACTGGGTAAGGGATAAAGAATTAAAACCATTTCCTTTAGACCAGTGGTTCTCAACCTTCCTAATGCCGCAACCCTTTAATACAGTTCCTCATGTTGTGGTGACCTTCAACCATAAAATTATTTCCGTTGCTACTTCATAACTGTAATTTTGCTACTGTTATGAATCATAATGTAAATATCTGATATGCAGGATGTATTTTCATTGTTACAAATTGAACATAATTAAAGCATAGTGATTAACCACAAAAACAATATGTAATTATATATGTGTTTTCCGATGGTCTTAGGCGACCCCTGTGAAAGGGTCGTTCGACCCCCAAAGGGGTCGCGACCCACAGGTTGAGAACCGCTGCTTTAGACCCTCTTTTTGTGTTTTGTTTAAAACTTAATGTCAGGAAATAGAGACCATCATAAAGAGAGAATAAAACGGAGAGGGGATCACTTTAGGAGTGTTTTGGTTTAGCTTTTTGTTTTAAATATAGAAGTGTCCATGATAAAAGGATCAAAAACTGAATATTGGAGTTAACCGGACCACTTTCAAACTGAAAGAAAGGGGGGGGGGTGGTGAGTGGGGAGTCTCCTCTTTAAAGGGGAAGAGCCTGCAGAAATCCAGGCATTGTAAAGGGCAAAAAAGAGGCCTCCAGGGAACCCTAATAAGGGAGAGAAGACGTCTTTATTTTGTTTGTAAATGAAGGGATTCTAGAAATGGGAAGCCTTTTCTCTATTTTTAAATTTCAATTCTCTGAATGAGCTAGATAAACATCACAGTGGAGACCGAGGGAAAACTTCAGCTACAACAAAGGAGGATTAGGGGAATCAAGCACTCAGGCAAGCAATCAGGGGGTTCAGAGAAATGCAGTTTAATCAACAGTTTTCAAAACCTAGAGTTCACCTGAAGGGCTCCTCAGCAGTGACGACGATTTAAAAAGAATAAGAGATGCAATAAACTGGATTCAGCTGTGAATCGCTGTGCACAACTCCATGCAGGGCCTCTGGAAGGGAGCTTCCCTCCGCCAGTGTGCATCTGGTTGGAGTCTGTCAAGAGCACTGTGGCCTGTTTCTCATCTATTACTCACCTGGGCTTATTTCTGACACGTCAAAGACATAGGATGGCTGATCAAAGACAAGAGGAAACTCATTTTCTGGGCTTGTTAGGACATAAATGTAGATGTTATCTAAAAAGAGAAATAGAAAAAATTTAAATCATAATATTCTATTCTCATTGACTTGTTTATTAAACATTAGAGACCCGGTGCACGAAATTCATGCAGCTGGGGGGGGGGCAGGTCCCTCAGCCCGGATTGCGAGAGGATGCAGGCCAGGCCAAGGGACCTCACCGGGGCACGTTCGGGGCCAGGGAGGGACCCAGGAGGTTGGCCAGCTGGGGAGGGACTGCAGGAGGGCTCCAGGGTGTGTCTGGCCCGTCTCGCTCAGTCCCAATCGGGCGGGACCCCAGCAGCAAGCTAACCTACCAGTCGGAGAGTCTGCCCCCTGGTAGTCAGTGAACATCACAGTGACTGGTCGACTGTCTGCCCCCTGGTGGTCAGTGCACGTCATAGTCTTAGCATATCATTAGTATATTACGCTTTGATTGGTTGAATGGCCGACCGGACGACCAGATACTTAGCATATTAGGCTTTTAAAAGCATTTCCTATGTAACAGGTGCTGTGCAAATATTGAGGCTGCAAGGAAAATAAGACCAGGAAGTTCCTGCCTTCGAGATGCTTCAGGCAGTTCCTTCTGATAAACACATGTACAGGTCACTACGGAAGCCAGAGGAAGTGCAAGCTGAGCTTCACAAAGATCATTAGAGCTAGACAAATGGGGTGAGGGGGGGTCATGGGGGTGTGATTCTAGGTATGTGCATGGATATCAAGGCATAAAACTGCATGATTCACTCAGAAAAACAGCAAGCTATTTGGCCTAGTTAGAAAAAAGGAGGTTTAGCCGAAACCGGTTTGGCTCAGTGGATAGAGCGTCGGCCTGCGGACTGAAGGGTCCCAGGTTCGATTCCGGTCAAGGGCATGTACCTGGGTTGTGGGCACATCCCCAGTAGGAGATGTGCAGGAGGCAGCTGGTCGATGTTTCTCTCTCATCGATGTTTCTAACTCTCTATCTCTCTGCCTTCCTCTCTGTAGAAAATCAATAAAATATATTTAAAAAAAAAAAAAAAAGGAGGTTTAGAAGCAAGCAGCTGGAGCTGAAGCTAGAGTTAGGCAAGGGCCGAATGGTGAAAGTCCTTGTGTGCCAAAGGATTAGAACTTGAACTTGACAGCTATGGAGACACTCAGGGCTTTAAGCAAGAAAGTAATATGATGACGTTCTCATTTCCTAAATTCACTGTCAGAAATGTGGAGGATGCTTTGGAAAGGGGCAAGGCAAAGTCAGAGAGATCCCTAAAGAGTCTCAAATGTTGTAATTCAGCCAAGAAAGAGGAGGTTCAGCATTAGAGCGGGACTAGTGGGATGGGGCCGGGTGGTGGGGGAGGGGCAGCAGAAGCTTGAGATTTTAGAAGGTGACACAGAAGAAAGGCTTGGAGACCACTTCAGTGTGCTTGGTGACGGACAGGAGGAAGCAGGGCTGATTCCCAAGTGTTTGGGGTTTTTGAAGTCTCCTCTTTAACACAAATACCTAGCCCAATACTGAGCACTGCCTGGCAGTCTAGTCACTGCTGCTCAAGAAAGATGCTTCATGAAATAAGTCAAAATGATACTTGCTTTTGTAGTAAGGAGGGGCAACATCCTGCACCTGGGTTGTCACAGTGTATTTATTGCCGGCTGCTAGATTACTTGGATTTTCATAATCTAGATCACCAATCAACTAGATTAAAACAGAGATATCAGATTACACAGAAAAGCAATCCTTTTAATTCAACTGATGAAGACATTTTCCTATCTATAAGTAGAAATGCAAATTGAAAAGCCTTTCTGGAAAGCATTTTGCCTACATGAGGAACTTTAAAGCGTTATGCCCATAACTGTCCATTGTGTCCATTCTCTGCTCACTGCTAATGACTTTATTGGGAAGAATCTATGTTTACAGATGTCCATCAGGTACTATTGCCCAACAGGCTCAAGACTGCAGGTTAGTTGAAGAGAAGCACAATATAGAATCCTATATGCAGGAATAATTCCATCATTTAAAATACGTATGCATATATGTATAGAATATACATAAATCTATGTATAGTGAAGAAGAAGGAAATATACCAAAATGCTATTAGTGGTTATCACTGAATGGCAATGCTTTTCTATGTTTCCTACATCAAGCATGTATTAATTTCTTCAACAGAAAAAAAATAAAAAATATTTTTTAGCTGACACTATGAATAAAATTGGTAAAGACGTTCTTGGGGACAGAAGAAGGGCTTTGGATAGGAGGTGGAGAAGGGGGTGGGTGAGAGAATGCCTCCTAGTGGGCTGCTTGCTCTCCTCACTGAGAAATTATCTCTGATGCAAAGCCCCCTTCCTCCCCACCAGGACCACTGCCCCCCAAGTTCCCCCTACTGCCTCCCTCGGCCCTTCCTTTTCCCTCCAGTGGAAACCCTGTAGGTTAAGGTCTCATACAGCTTTTCTTCTTCTTTTTTTTTTAAATATATTTTTATTGATTTCAGAGAGGAAAGGAGAGGGAGAGAGAGACAGAAACATCGATGATGAGAGAGAATCATTGATTGGCTGCTTTCTGCACGCCCCACACGGGATCGAACCGGCAATCTGGGCATGTGCCCTGACCGGGAATCGAACCATGACCTCATGGTTCACAGGTCAATGCTCAACCACCGAGCCATGCCAGCTGGGCGAGATCTGCTTTTCATGCCCACCCTGCTTCCAAGTCTGCTTTGCCCCTGTGGGGATGCTGTTGAGTGAGGCTACCTAAACAGCCTGGCTTTCTCATTCCCCTCTGGGTCTGCAGTGGTTGTATAAGGCTGAATTTAGCAGGATACACTCATCAAGGCCCTGGACCTGCTTTCTCTCATCTCACACCTCCACTGTCCAGAAGGAGCACTCAAATATACGAGAGTACTTGAGCCCAGGGGGCACTAACGTGACTATAGAGGCAGCTAAGCAGGCACAGCAAACTGCAGCTATGCAAGAGAGAATCCAGTCTTTAGCACCCCAGGCATAACTATGCATAACAGACGATTCCGGAACTTGGGTAAAATAAAGAGCAAATGGGGAAAACAGAGTCACTCTTATGTGTGTCAGTTACAGCCCTGCAGTGAGGGAGTTACCTTGGAAATTTCTCTCTCAGGGGCAGCAAAAGCACCATGCATGTTAGACCAGCTTCCCCCATGCCCTCTCAACGATGCAATGACCGTTAACTGACCACAATTTTCCCAGAGCCAGCTGGATCCTGTAAGAATCTGCGGCGGCTCCCCACTCCAGATGGCTCGGTGAAGTTGAATTGGTTGTTTGGTGCTTCGCTGTCATCATCAAAGCAGACCGTGTTCAGGTCCAGAAGCAACGTCCCCTTGGCTGCTCGTTCAGGCACCATAATGCTGGCGAAGAGACGTGATTCAATAGTTTCCCCAACAAATGGCGACTGAGTGTTCCTTCTGACATAGACCCAAGGCTAGACAGCTCCGCTTTAGTTTCAGTTCAAAGCAAGTCCCTGGTAACTGCAGTGATGGCCTAACTAGAGTCCTTGCTCTGCCCTGGCCTCCTTTCCGGCTGTCCTTAACACACCCGCCAGAGGGACCCTGATACATGCTGTCAGGTCGGGTCACTCCTCTGCTCCTAAATCCCACGTGGCTCCTCATTGCACTCAAAGTCCTCACTTTAACCTGAGCAAAAAAACCCTTAACTGTCTGAACTCATCGCTTCCTTGTTCCCTCTACTCCAGCCAGCCGGTGCTCCTAGCACACTCCCCAGGCTCTGCCCTCAGGGCCATTCTACCTACTGTGGGATGCCCTTCCCACCAAGGTCCATGTGGCTGCCTTTTCACTTTCTTTAGTCTCTAACCCAGGGGTGGGCAAACTTTTTGACTCGAGGGCCACAATGGGTTCTTAAACTGGACCGGAGGGCCGGAACAAAAGCATGGATGGAGTGTTTGTGTGAACTAATATAAATTCAAAGTAAACATCATTACATAAAAGGGTACGGTTTTTTTTTTTTTTTTTAGTTTTATTCATTTCAAACGGGCCGGATCTGGCCCGCGGGCCGTAGTTTGCCCACGGCTGCTCTAACCCAATGTTACCTTCTCAGGAGGCTATCCCCGGCGAGCCTACCTAAACTGTGAATGAGCCCTGCCCATAGCTTCCTCTCCCATTCCCCCTTTTTATTTTTAATTCTTGGCACTTGTTGTTTTCCAATATACTAGATAGCCTCGACTGTAAGCTCTACAAGGGCAGGGATCTTTGTCTGCTTTGTTCTGGGCATGCTCAATAGACATTTGTTGAATGAATGGATGGTAGCTTATGAGACTAGCACAGTAGTAAAGAAGAATATAAAGAAGAATGTAAGAAAAATATAAATTGTTCCACCTCCTGTCAGAGTTTATAATCTGCTTAGGGGAAACCCGGCACCCCTCACCTTCCATGCTTTGAAGGTTGGGAATTCCTCTACTTGTTTCTAATAGCATCAATATCACAGCAGGGTGTCCTAACACCTTAGTATTATTCATTCAATAGAGGTTTATTAAGAGTCAAATTCAGGGCTCCTAATCTCCGATGGTCCCAGGGTCTAAGCAAACAGCACAAGTAAAGCTGCCCCCAACCAAGAGCTATCTGGTCAAGCCCAGCTTGGCATGGGAGACTGAGGAACATGATTAACACTGACAGGCTTCAGTTCACTGAGGAACTTTATCATGCTTCCAGGTTTCAGTTTTCCCATCTGTAAAATGGACGTAAATGATGCCAGTTAGCTTTTGTTACATAACAAACCAGCCCCAACGTAGTGGCTTAAAACAACAGGCACATATTCTTACAATATTAAGGATTATCCATTCATTCTTTTGGTTCTAGTTCAGCTTGGCTGTGGTCACTGGCAGCTTGGCTGGGGCTAGATATCTAGGATGACCTTGTTCACATGTCTGGTGGTAGGAAGGTGGTGGTTCTATTTCATGGCGTCGCCTATCCTCCAGGAGACTAGTTCGGGCTCTTCACACGAAGATCTCAGGTTTCCAAAAGTAGCAAAAGAGGGCAAGCCCTGGTGCACGTATCCTTCTGGGCCTCTGCTGGGCCACATTTGTGAATGTTCCAACGGCCAAAGCAACTGATGTGGTCAAGGGCAGATTCAAGTAGCAGAAAGAGAAACCCCTATCTTGATGGGAGGAATGGTGAAATCACATTGCACGGGCCCGCAGACAGGCAGGGAGGGATTTGTGGCTGGTGTTTTGGTGTTGGGTTTGTTTGGGTTTTTAGTTTTGTTTGTTTATTTGTTTTTGCTACCTACCTTCAATCATAGTTTGCCTCGGGCAGAATTTCTTACAAAAAGTGTATTTGGCTGCCATGAGAATGTGCCTGGAAGACCTTCAATCACAGGAACATAATTGACCCTAGATGCCAGCTGCTGGGCTCTGAAATCCATTGCTATATTTGCGATGAGGCCATGTGCCCATGACTGGGCGTGGCAGAGATGAAGACAGGCTCATTCCTGTGCTAGGACAGCTGACTTTGGCTTCAGGACTCCTCAGTGCCCTAGACGAACCTTCCATGGACAGCATGGCCTGCTAGAACATTTCTGCCCTCCTCACCCCCGCTTTCCTTCATTCAGGTCAGACTTGCGTCGTGGTCTGAGAACTCTCCCAGCCTCCTCATTGTCTTCTGCAGGCATTTCCCCTAATAAACGCCTTTGACACTCCTATCTCCTCAGAGCGCCCAGACTAATGTGTTCAATTCTTTAATCCTCTGAACTATCACCTCTCTACAACCAAATTGTGCTCCCTTCTACTATTGGCAGCTAAAATGGGCTCTGGGCTCAGCAAATGTGGAGCAAATTCTGATAGCCAGGATGGTCTTAGGCTGCTGAGGATAACTGGGTTCGTTCCCTGGAAAGCACTTTTTCTGACAGGTGTAACTGAATCTCCATGATGCCTCACTGGCAAAGATCACCTCCGTGTTTCCGCAGGACTGGAGTCCAAGCATTTCCATTCCTGCCTTGCATACACAGTGTCATGGTTTTTATTCACAAGTAACTTGGAATAGATGCCATTTATTAAACACCAACTATATGCTGTATCACTTTAAAAATATCATCTCGAATCCCCTCATCTCCAAAAGGTTTATATTCTTGTCCCCTTTTAGAGGTGAAGAAAGAGTCGTTTGGAGTGGTTTCAAGACCTGTCCAGGAAAGTTGATGCAGGCGGGCACAGTTCCCTATTGTCTGTGTTAGAGTCACAGTAAATACTACTTCAAGTTCCATGATTCAGTGAGTCCCCAGGCCCACAGATGGTTTGGGAATCTGAGCCTTGATTCTAACTCTGCAGAGACCAGGAGGTTGCGTCATGCAAAGAATCCAGGGTCCTGAAGCCGGATGATTCACTATTCACACACTCAGCCCCTCAGGGCTGCCTGGCATGTGCTCTTCATTCATCTCTGACACTTGGTATTTCCCCCCTAAACACTTGACTTTGAAAACCACTCCTCCTCATTCATCAATCCCTGCCTCAAAAGCAGGCTGCCCCCACTCCCAGCCAGCAGACCACGGTTCCCTCCCCAGGCAAAGGTGACTGGCCCGGTGACATTCGGAATCAGCTGACCTTCTCTGGCTCTGGCTCTCAGTAAGCACTTTCAGCCTCATAGTTTACAACCAGAGTGGGGCTGTCACAGGCTTTTGATGCCTCCATCAGGGCCCTGGGCTCATTCATCACCAGCCTGGGAAAAGTAGGGGCCTGGGTCTAAGGGCTATTTCCCTCTTGGCCCAGCCAGAGAGCCTGAGACTCACAAGACAGCCAGGGGCCAGGCACGCAGCCCTGGCTCCTCCCACCCTCTTCTACCTGCTCTCCCAAACTCCAGTGCAGGGATGGCACCAAGAGCCTTGAGCCCTGAAGGAATAAATATTCAGGGACAAATGTTGTTAGAGTCAGGTGGCAGCACTAGTTCTGTTGTTTGGTGTGCTTTTGACCTGCCTGTGTGCTTTGACTCTGGCATGGTGGGAAGGGGAAGGAGGTAAGGATGGGGGGATGGGAGGTGATGCAGAGTCAGGGTTCCCAGCCCCTGCAGTACACAGATGAGGCTTGGTTTTGGAGTAAAGACCTCCAAGGAGCTTTTGGTTGTCCTGCCTCACATCTTGTCTGGAGGGACTTGAGCATTATTTAGAGTTACCTTTAGTAATAAATATAATTAGTTCACTTACTACTGGCTTTGACTTTCAGGGCTAATTTGGACAGAAGATTATCAAGAGTAGGCTTCTGCATGGGTTTGCCTGGACAGTCTAGGATATTTAAAATGTGATTTTACCAGCCAATATGGAATGGAATGCTGTCTGCAAATGCCATCCGTGCATCGGGGTTCTCCAGAGTGCAGGAGGCCACAGTGTGCATTTAACAGCACTGCACCAAGGGGAGAAAGCTGACAAGGAAGCGTGGAGAGAGCACAGTCCTCTCCAGTAAGTACTGTACTCAGACTTCTTACTCCTCAACCCCTTTCCCCACCTTCAGGGCAGGGGACAGTAGAAGAGCAGCAGGGCCTAGAAGGGCAGCATAGGAGGAAAGGAATTCCCCAGTATGCACTGGAGCCACCCAAGAATGCTAGCATAGATTTAGATTTTCAAAGAAAGTAGAGGTGTGACTCTGCATGTCATCTCTACTCCAGCCCCAGGGCCCAGACTTCTGGTAACAGTGGTGGATTCGATTTATAGATGTAATGGGGTAGAAGTAACAATCCTAACTACCCATGGCACCATCTCCACCCATCAAACAGGCTCTGAGGTTACGGTTGGAATAGGAGCCTATCACATGATCAAGGTTATTATTGACTTGAGGGCCTCAGCAGGAAGCAGATGGCAAATTAGGATAACTCTAGAGGCGGTTTAGTAAAGGGACTACCACAAAAGTACACACAGGTATATGGGAATATGGGTGGTGCAATATCTCTGGCCTGATAAGAGTGGATCTTCCATTTCTAGGTCAGAGGAGCCAGTGCAAGGAGCAGTCCCTGAAACTGGAAACCAGGGATGGACAGTGCCGTGTGCTGAGGGCTGCCTTATAGGAACTGAGACCTGCAGGAGGTGGAGGGACTCATCCAGCTGACGGGGAGGGAGCCAGGGGAATAAATACGCTGATTTCATGCTCCCTCTCCTCCTACTGGCCAACCAGAAGCTGCAGGGCAAGGGAGCCAGTTGATATCTACATAAGTCAGCCTCCTGGGACACAGAGCAGGGAGGGAGGCTGGAAGGTGGGTCTGAGGGGGCAATGGAATGTATCTAGAACAGGGTTTAACAGTTTGATATCAGGCTCAAAGCCACACTTAATCTTAGCATTATGCTGGGCATGCCAATTGGGAGAACAGGGAGACATTCACCAACATAATAAAGGAATTCATATTTCTATTGCTTGCCCTAGACCAGTGGTTCTCAATCTTCCTAATGCCGCGACCCTTTAATACAGTTCCTCATGTTGTGGTGACCCCCAACCATAAAATTATTTTCGTTGCCACTTCATAACTGTAATTTTGCTACTGTTATGAATCGTAATGTAAATATCTGATATGCAGGATGTATTTTCATTGTTACAAATTGAACATAATTAAAGCATAGTGATTAATCACAAAAACAATATGTAATTATATATGTGTTTTCCGATGGTCTTAGGCGACCCCTGTGAAAG